TACATTTTATTTCCACTTCACCATTCTTGGATTGAGCTCAATCAAAAAGACATTCCTTCTCAACATTCAAGTTTCACTTCCAATTGCTTGTTGAGTTAAAAAGAGTGATGATATGGGCCCAGTGATGAAATTGATGACTCAATGATATCATTGAGGCAATGGTATCAATAACTTGATGAATTGCTGGAATAATGATATTAACAAAGTGATGATATGATGATATCAAGAAGTAATGATTTTTGATGGTTGACCAGGCGGGGCGATTGATGAAGTAACAAGATCAATGAGGCAATGATGTTGGTAGTAGGATTTCATCAACTATAATTACAAAGTTGTTGTATTTGGATGAGAAAAGTGAGAAGGGAAAAGGTATGTACATATGTATCAATCAATGAGGTATGAGAACTTGGAAGAGGTCAAAAATTAGACAAGTATGTACCCTTCTAAGTTCTTACATACAGCATTACCTCCAATTACTTTGAAATAGTTGGCAAAAAGGAGTTTGTACAGATGCCTGGAGATTGTGAGATTATCAATCAAACAATGTGGTACAATAATCTGTAAATTTGGGCTACCAAAGACACAGATTCAATTTGTGATTATTTTACTGTGATGGCCCAGTTTCCACAGTAAAATGATTGCAACCAAACAGGGTGTAAGAGACAGGTACATATTCACTACAATGTACTAAGTGGCAAGATCTGAAGATACCAATTTACAGATCTAGAGAATAATATGTTGAAATTGATTTGAAATATATGTTGAAGTTCTTCCTTCAGAATATTCAGCAATCTCACAGATTCTCAAATGTCAAGATAGGCCACAAATCACCAATCCTGGGGAATGGTAGCCACCTGAACAGCACTGATGAAGCTCACCAACAAAATGATATCTTGAAATTACCATCATGTGACACTGTCAGAATAGCGTCAGACACATGGCAAAAACAAAAATGTGCACAGACATGGACCATGATGCCAGATGGCACATGTCTGGGAACCCCAGCATTTTTGGTGGCTTCAGATATGTGCAACCAGCAGCTTTTTCCCCAGGCCTGAGGGGTGTTTCCATACTATGTAACTTACATGCAGATATATGGGACACTATGCCAGTACATTATTGGAAGTATAATTGATAGCCCTGGGTAAAGCAAACTTCTGCTGCCTGCCAAGCCATCTGAATCTACTGAATTCAGGTTATCCTTCCACTGTAAGGGCAGGGGTGGTAAGTTACCTTGTTGACATGCTACCTCAAAATTCCCTGGGGCCCTGTATTTTTCTTCCCACCCCTGCTGGTTTGATACCCCACGTGGCTCAAGAAGTCCCAGATCAGTCCTATGCTTCTCAAGGCTGTCCCACACCTACTTCTACTAAATGCAGGCCTCTTGGGGCTGAAAGAACCCTCTGACCCCCTTCCCCTGAGGATATTTTGGCTGGATTCAGCTTGGTGTAGAACTTTCAGAGTTCTTTTTATGGCCATTTGAACATTCCTATGAGGTTTGCTCTTCTCTGAATTGAGCCATTGCCACTGTAATTTAGATACATCTATCTAATTTAACAGGAGGAAGAACTTTTTCTCCAAAACTTTCAAGAAGAGGTTTCAACCTAAATTATCTTGACCCATGAAACCAAAAACCAGCTACACTGAAATCAAGTATCATGTTTATAATGGTGACAAGCAAGGCCAGTTGATTGGTATATTAGGCGCTTCTGAAGGAAACTAAATTTGTATGTGTCAGATTGACCCGCAAAGGTCTTGATAAAGACATCTATCAGCACCAAGAACCCCTGATAGATAATACAAAAGCCCTGGTGATGATAGATGATGACCACAATCTCATGAACCTATTAAAGTTCAGGAATTCCAACATTTAATCCCCACAATCTGGGCCCAGAATGGCTTAGATGTCAGGCAAAGCATCTTGGCTCTATGATGGATCAGATATACATCCAAAGTGTCCTCTCAAGATTTTGGTGGGGCACAATAGTGTAAGGACTTGAAGCCCATCACTGAAAAAAAGGTGTGACAAATGGCTGTAAAAGCAGCAGTAGTAGTCCTATAAACAATAAGGGTACTCAAAGCAAGTATGTGGTGCTACATATGTGGTGCCACATCCTTTCAAATTTGTTTTTGACAGGCAAAATGACCTACTGATATTTTCAATCACACAATTTGCCAAATATAATTCAACATGTCCTTTTCTTTAACTTGATATGGTACTTTCCGTGTAAAAAATGAAATATGAAAAGTATGTGGCACCACGTATGTAGGCCACATACTTACTTTGACTAGCCTTAATATAGTATCTCAGTATAGTGATAAATTCTACTTAGCACATTGTATGATCTTTTTGTCTCTCACATTCATGTTACAACATCATTACATAACATTTATGTACAGCTGATTCTGAAATAACCCATATCCTTGATCAATAGGCCATACTCTACCCTAACCCATAGTTTTTTCATCCATATTTTTATGGGCACAGAAAATGGGCCAAAAACCCATGACCCATAGCTTTGTTCAAACAATCAGAGACAAAAAATCCATAGTTTCTCACCAAAAAAATCAAAGACTGCACCATAGAGTCTTTAGCTGTCTTTAGTCAGGATGAGCCCCGTCTCCGGCAGAGGCAGGGATCTCCAATGCACTGGACCACCAGAAGGGTAGTTGGGCATAAGCTGTAAAGTCCCCGTCCCCAAGCCGGCTCTGTCGGGTCAGACGCCGGGCTGGGTTAGGAAGATCCCCAAATTTTTTTGGAGAACCAAGCCACCATAGATAGATAGATCTATAGGACATATGAACAATGATTGATTAATCCATGGGTTTGGTGTGGCAACCGGGTGATACAAACAACAGACCAAAAACATGATTGTGATGGGCACATTACTTCACCCAATAATCCAAGCAATGGGGTCCTTTTATGAGCTGGATTTAGGCACACTCCTAGTGAGTGTATACATATATACACTCATGAAGGTGGTACTTAATGATCAAATACTGGTAACCGCAAATATCTGAGTAGCAGTTTTTTTTATTCCCGGAAAGGCTCAGCTCAATTGTGAACTTGCGGGGACTTGGCAGAAAAACAGCATCTTGGTGGGACACTGATTTTGCAAGGTTGAGGGCCAGGCTGAGGGTCTGATTATAGATCCCTGCCAGGGCGGGTGCGGTTCGTCCGGGAGCCGGGCTGGGCTTCAGCATTTTGCTCGGGGGGTCAGTTTGGGTGGTCTCCAAGCCTGAAAGGCCGGGGCTCATCCTGAGTCTTTAGACACATATGAAAAGCTCTTTGAAGCTCTCCAACTCTTACAGTTCCACACTCATATCAGAATCTCAACTCAAATGTGACAGCAATGCTGGGCCCCATGGTCCAGATCACTCTGAGGACCAGGTATCTCCTCCATCATATTCCGATTTACTTAAGTCAGCCATTGTTTTTACCAACTACCTCAGACACAAAGAATCTGATGAAGCCAAAGCCCATGGGGGGCTCTTTGGCAAGCTCTGTGTGTATTTAGTGCAGCCCACCACAAAACCCTAATTTATCCCAACCTTCTGAATCACCTTTTGTCATAACTCTCTCATTCTTCTAGAATGATATAGCAATGCAAGAGCTACTGTCTTGCATTCCACAAAAGATCTTTGCAACAACCCTTGAATTAGTTGGCATGGGTTATTGCAGAGGTTTCTGGTAGCCCATACTCTAAGAGAACCCATAGTTTTTGGATTCCATAAAATGGTATGGGTTATCTCAGAGTCAACTGTATATAGATGTTCTCTGAATTGAGTGCGGGTTCACTTGGCAAATTGGTGTATGTCTTAAGTTGGGTTTGTCCACTTCGTTATAAACCATACAAAACTTGATAGCGCCCATCAAACGAGGTCCAGCACTGTCCGAATCGTGGTTCCAGCGATCGATCAACTTCTTTCAAGACCGAGGGGATTTGTGGAGAATGTAACTCCGCAGTCAGATAAGTCATATAAATTTAATGACCAACGCAGAGATACATGGCTCACGTTCATCTTGCTACGCTGGCAGTATTTTGTGAGACTTGTAATGAAGATATTATTAGACTTGAACAGTCCACCTCATATCGGAACCGCTCAAACGATCAGAAAATGGATCAAACTCGGTGGACATTATCTGAATATCGACCAATTGCGCTGGCAGCGCAAGCCATATAAACTCGGACTTATCGTGGTCTGCCAATGGGATTGTGGGGTTTTGGCTGCCAAGGTTCAGTGCAGTGCCAGCTATGTCTTGATGCTGTAAAGTTTCAAAAAGATTATCTCCAGCGGAGGCCGATTGATGACCACGATATCCTATCCTGGGTCTTGTTCTGAAGTCTAATTCCATTCATGTTTTGCATTACACTGCTTCTAATTCATGTGTTGTGTGTATATTTGCGTAGGAGATTTAAACCACTATACTGCCACCGAGATCTTCTTTTACCCAGGTATACCGCACTCGCTTCATAAATGCCCATGTAAAGGGTGACTACTTCGCAAGCCCAAGTGTAAAGTGTGTATTGGAGTCCGACCGATGAATGGCCGCCGTGTGGGCCGCAAGAAAACCGAAGTCCTCACACGTGCCGATAAATAAAAGGGTTTGGGTACAATATCAAGATAATCGGCACCGCAGAGCAACAGTGAGATGGAAAAGCTCCACACAATTATGATATGGCGAGCAAGCTTTTGGGGTCCGCCTGTGGATGAACTGTCGCAGTGGCTGTGCTTCCAGTCAGTTTCTCAAACAAGCCGATAAAGAGAAGGGTTTGAAGACAGTCTCGAGGCAGATGATGAAAAGATATATAAGGAGCGACCTTCCTGTCTTTCTTCATTTCATTTGTCTTATCCTTGCACATTTGTTTGTCATTTGTCTGATATCGCTGTGTATACCAGCTTACCGTTACAAACTAAATCATCATCTCTTGAGTTTATTTTTCTGACTATAATCAAAGCGTGCTAAAACTCTCACACTGAACAGTGAACGCCATAAGATGTTTCAAAATTTATTCCACTACGTCCTCATTGCCACTACGTTGAGTACCCTGAAAGTATCTGGAGTCGATGGTGAGTTTTGTCATGAGATGCACATCTCTTCAATCAAGCTGACTCGTCATATCTTTTGAAGGGGCCTTGGCGAGAAGGAATATTGCTTTGAATGGGTCAGTCCACTAAACATATAACCTCGATTTTTCTTGCTGAAAATTGATGATTATTATTGTTTGCTTTCAAAATAAATAGAAAGATCAGTGACATAGGACAACGAATCTTTGAGAAAAGCGGGATGAGTGAGATAAGTGAGGAGGAAAAATTGAACATTGCTAACGAAGGCTGGAATAGATTTCAAGCTACGCTCTCCGATTATGATTGGGATCGTTCAAAAGTCGAAAAAGGCCAAGGATCGGATCATAAAAAGTTAAAAAAAGCTGCACTGAAAAGGAAGAAGGGGTACATAACTTTCGAAGATGGCGAGAACGATGACCATTTGCACAATATCATGGCGTGTTTATACGATAACCGAATTCCTGAGATGATCGTCATACACGGTGGAAATGGAGAATTACGACATGCAACTTATAAATGGTTTTGGGATGCCGCACACAAACTTACTGGATGCGATGTTCCAGAACTCTTATTAGGTGAAAAAGGAACCGAGGAGCCATCTGTATTTGATTCAGTCGAAGGTATGGGTGGGCTGGAGGAGACCTATAGGCAACAGCTAGTCGCAAACCCCATGGGTGCCGAAAAACGCAAAGCCATAGCGCAACAGACTTATAAAAAGGTTGCCAACCACATCTCCAAACTTGATCGGGTCCTTATCGGCTTGAAGACGGCGCCAACGGACTTGATGAATGTGATTAATCTGATGAATAAAGTTGATCCAGAGAAAGCCAAAGAGAAGATGTTTGTTGTCTGGTCTTGCCCAGGTGCCTTTTCACTGAATCATAAGGAGTTCCCACTATTGGCCAGATTCAATTTCTATCGCAACTCTCAGGCATCTGACAACCTGCTCAAAAGTGGCGTCAACATGGTTTTGACTGGAAATGATTTGTATGCTACCCGCGTAAGAGGATTCGTGGATGCTGAGTTTGCTGAGAAGATGTCGACTATAGATCCCAAATGGATTGGTATTGAAGGATTTGAAGGCTTGAAGGATCTCTCGGACAAAGCCCCGGAAGGGTCGATTTTTGGTCTCTACCGTACAGTTCAGGAAACGTTCCAGGCCAGAAAAGTGGTTTACGGTGAAAGGTATTTGACCTATGTGATCAAACCTGTCAGGGATTGGTTGGAAAAGCTTAGGCTAAATCCTCAAGAGATAGAGACGGAAAAGATTGAAAGGCCAGGTCCCGACTTGAAAAAATCTGATCTCATGTCTGGCGAAGAGATTGAAGACAAGTTGCAACGATACGAGCAAGAATTTGGTGGCAAGTTGAAGTCCATCCTACAAGATAAAAATGGTCACCAAAAATTCACACAAGAGATAGAAGAGATGAAAAAAGCAATGGATGATCTGGATCACCGTGAAGGACATCTTGTTAGACGATGGAAGCCATTTGCGGACAACAAACATTACCTTGAAGGATGTACAGCTGACCCGCACCTAGAATTTATTCTCAATCCTAACATGCGAAAATCTTCAGTCAAAGAGGTCATTCCTGTGGAAGTGCGGCGTGAAAATCCTGATCGACCTGGCTTGTTGACTATCAAAGTCAAAAAAGGTAGTAATTGCTGGGTTGCATCGGATCTCGATTCAACAGATTTCCGCAACATGTATCAAGGAATGATCAATTTGTTTGCTGAGCACAAGGACGGAAAACTCGAGCTTCCTTCGATTGAAATTTATAAAGGTGCACAGTCCAGAAAACAAGGAGAACCTTTCAGCGTGTAAAGGAGAAGCGTCATGAAAAGGGAATCCATTGGTTCTGATTCAGGGTCTCAGCCGTAGTAAATGCTGCATACTGGATACAAGTTTGTTATTCTTTTGTGAGGTCACTTTTTGCTCTCAAGTGTCTTATGCATGTAGCAGGATCTAGATCAATTCAAGTGATGTAACTGAAGTTTTGAAATTGTCGGTAACTATTGCACATTGCACCTCTGTCATACAAAATGCTGTTACACAGTTCTTGTCTTGTGACTTGGAATTTGATTCCTTTTTCATTAGTTGTTCATGTGGTTTGTTTGAAATACTACCCGAATCAAAGATTGTCCCAATCGAAAAAATCGTGATTTGATGCAACAAAATGATTTTAGATTGCAAAGTTGTTGAGAAACTAAGACCAGCAGGCTGCACTGCAGCATCGTTGATAAGAGGAGTTTTATCACGATATGTACTCAACTTTATCTGTTGAGGAAAATGTGGTATTTACTTCCCAGGGTTCCCTACATTGCTGTACCTTTTGCAAATGCTTGCCACAGTGAAGTATGTCACTTCTAGACTGGACCTCAAAAGTGTATTGACTTCATACATTTGAAGTTTTCTCCCTCATTTTCGCCTGTAACTCATGAAATCCTCTAGCCCTGGGGTGCCTAGCAAACCAACTACATTCGAATTCCAACATCTTGCCCATTGGGATGGTGCGTAATTTCAGTCTCAGATGTACTTCCCGATGACCCCCATACGAAGGCTGGCTACTTTATGAGGTGGAGCTTCCTATGTGTGTAATCCACAGTCACCTATGCAGCTTCATTCGAACGTCAAGACCACTGTCAAATTGAACCATTTATTTGCCATCTACTGTTGGTTGAAAAAGTGTGACGAGACAATTCTCCCGTCATCTGCTGGAGTATTGCAGTTAAACTCATCCAAAATCCTCTTATATTTACTGTAGCTTCAATCTCATGCAGTTTCCTCACTTCCGGATATGCGTCATCTTGTGATAACACGGGTCTTTCCCAAGTTTTTGCCCAACGCAACCATTATATCGGCACCAGGTGTGTTGGTTCTATTAGGTTCTTAAGCTCTGATAAGATTTAATAGGGAACAGAGAATTCAAATTTTAAGCAGACCCATAAAGATTGCCACATGCAAGCATCCTGGGGGGCTTCGGCTGTGTCGAAGTCCTCTTTGTACATTGAGGGCTGAGAGCAACTTTCAAGGTGGTCTCTGTAGGTGGCACCTTTTAGGGATTACTCGAGAGACCCAATGTATCAGAAGAAATGATTTTTGGATAGCGTTAGAATTGCTATGGAGTAAATTGCACAAGCTTGACATTTTCTATCTCCAACAACGATCGCATCGGTTGGCTCACCCGCTTGAAGAGGATGAGTAGGTGACAGATTTTTGGTTGTCCCGTCCAAGTCCACCGCTTGACGTTTTTGGATGCGTCATGAGTGCGTTGGTGGATTCAGGAGTTTCAACCTTTCTTATGAGGAGATGGATCCTTGCTTGTGCAGTCTGTTACGTTGACAACGTTATGTAGTGTCATATGTATGTAGCCGGGCTCGGGAAGAGTAGGGTTACCGAGTCATTTAGAATCCAGTTGAAGTGGAATTTGACGAAATGATAGATTGCTCACAAAGTTAAGATGTTGGACCACTTTCATATCTTCCACCGAGGTAAGTTTCCCTTTTATTAATCAATTTCTTGACTAGCCTAAGGCATATGCACTAACTCTTCTTTCTTCCTTTCTTACAGGTGGAATCGTACTTTGGTCGAAAGCATTTGTTTCAACACCTTCACCAGTTCGGCAAATTATCAGTCAAGCTCTCATTGAACCATCTACCAATCACTCGAATCAGCAGGACGCCCAAAGTTTACACTTGGGCGCATACTCGGTCCAATGGCGTCTTTCAAACGATCTGGGACTTGTCTTTGCTGTTCAGTAGCAATTCTTCTATCTGGTTGTCCACTGTCCTGATCATCTTTAACTACGACCTGACTCCAAACCATGATTTGACCTCCTGAAGGTGGCTTACCAGCGGATCCTTCAACTAACATATATTAATGAACTCTTAGAAGCCGTTCAGTCACTTTTTCTCTCGCTTTATGCCCCTCTCATCAATAATGTCCTGAACCCATCCAGCTCGATCGCCTTCAGCAAAGGCTTCATGTCTGTCTTCGAAGGCTGGGAGAATCGGTTTATGTGCCTACTCAAAGAACTCGAAGCAGGGGCCAACTCTCAATCACGGGCCAAGAAGCTTATAAGCGATCATCACCAGAGTGCGATACAACGAGCAGAGGTCGAACGCATGTCTGATAACAGCCAACGTAGGTACTCAGATTCTTTGATTGTGGAATCTTCACTCCTTGTATTTCTTTTCAAAATCCCAATCACTGAACGCTTTCTCGTCTTGTCTTTGATCATAATTTACTTCAGTTCCTGCTACGGCGAGTACCACAGCAACCGATTCAGAGACAATCGCTCGGAACATAGCTGCCCTAAAGGCACGCCGACGCAAGCCAACCGGTTCCAAAGCTAGCAGTCGTTCCGGAACTGATACAGAGACTGGAGGGCCTAAACCCCAACAAGCCCGTAGAAAATGGGATGATGGAACGATGAGCGCACAGGATATATCACAATATGATTATAGTGAAGACGTCGATATCCCTGCAGCATCCAACTCCATAAAAAATTTGATAGACGATAACGCTCTTGGGATTCGAAATAAGGAAGGAGTATATGAAGTAGCTGATTATGAAGATAAAAAGGAATTGACTGGGGGGATCTTTGCTCGATTCCTCAACAATTTACCCTTTATTGGTCGATCAAACACATCACCAACTCTAACCTCAGCCGAACTCAATCCAATCCTCCAACAAATGCAAACACAATTATTGAAGAAAAATGTGGCACGAAGCGTAGCAGAAGAGATTTGTGATAAATTAGGAGTAGAGTTATTAGGAAAAAAGCGGGATGGCACATCATTGCGAGAATTAGTCAGAGATGCTCTATCGACTAGTTTAAGACAAATCTTGACTCCAAGGACAAGTGTTGATCTATTGATGGAAGTAAGACGAAGACAGAGCGGAAAACCTTATGTGATTACCTTTGTAGGTGTGAATGGTGTTGGAAAATCTACAAATTTGGCAAAGGTGGCCTTTTGGCTTCTTCAGAATCGATTGAGAGTTCTTATTGCAGCTTGCGATACATTTCGTTCTGGTGCAGTAGAACAACTAAGAACTCATGTTAGGAACTTGTCATCAATTGATCAACCGAATGGGATGGTGGAATTGTTTGAGAAAGGGTATGGAAAGGATGCGGCGGGGATCGCGAAGGCAGCCATTGCTCATGGTCAGTTCTTCTTGGATTCTGTAGACGTTCGAGATTGTGTTGGTTCGCCTCTCTTGCTGACGACTGATTGGTTTGGGTTAGCGGAGACGAACGGATTTGATGTTGTCCTTATTGATACAGCTGGTCGAATGCAAGACAATGAGCCATTGATGAGAGCACTTGGAAAAGTATGTTGAGTTCTTCATCGATGTGGATGTACCCTTCAACCAATCTCAACTCATTATTTGCTTCCTAAATCCAGTTGATCAGCGTCAATGAGCCCGATAAAGTGATCTTCGTAGGAGAAGCATTAGTAGGAAACGAAGCAGTCGATCAACTACAAGGTTTCAATACCTCAATTCAGAAATTTAGTGGCCCTATCAGTAGATCTCTAGATGGGATGATTCTTACCAAGTTCGTCTCTTATCTCTATCCTTTTACGTACATTCTTTGGTTTCTTTTTCACGAAAACTAAAAGTGCTAAATAATATAGGTTTGATACGATTGACGATCAGGTTGGGGCTGCTGTGTCAATGACTTTTGTGACTCGTCAACCTATCTGGTTTGTGGGCACCGGTCAAACATATACGGATCTTAGGGTACTTAGGGTTGGACATGTGGTTGAGGCTTTGATGAGGGAATGATGTTAGATAGTCTTGAAAATCAATTGTATAAGTGCTAGAAATGTTTGATAGAAAGATATGAGATTCACCAAACTTCACAGAGTCCCTCAAACATTCTCACGCCCAAAGTCTTCATTCAGCTGCAAGGTGGAAGAATTCCAGCCCCAAAATGCTCAATGGGTGTTTGGGCATAGGAATGTGGAAAAGTCAGAGAGCTTGATGACATGTGAGATATTTGGGGTACCTCATGAGAAGCAAGTCATTTCCCATAATTCATACAGTAAATTCCATCAAGGATGAAATCTCGAACTTTTCAAAATCACCACATGGTCCGTGCGAAGCGCAGCACCGGAGTCGGATTTTTGGCGTGAGTTCCGCCAGGGTATTTTCACAAAATCCATCATTCCACCTGCTCGAAAAACTCCCTAATCAACACTCTGTGAGCGCATAATAAAGAGGGAGTGCTGGCTCCTCCTCTTCAATTTGCCGCCCTCGGCATCTCACAATCTCACAGGCTCAAAAAATTATGTACCATTATCTGGGGCAAACTCGGGGCCAAATGGTCTCAAATGAATTTCAGATGCTGCCCGTCAGATTGGTTTTGGTTGCCAAAAAACGACCTGAGATTAAAAATCATTTGGTGCTTAGCAAGCATCTTAAAGAAAATGCATTATATATTGCATTACAAGCCATGACATCACTGCTGCTTCTGTGTGAGGGTGACACTGTCCTACAAACCAGTGTCAGCACATGTTATCAATACAGACATGAGTCCACCGGGACAAAAGCTTATGTGAGATTTCTTCCCAAGCCCATTGATCAATCAAAAAGGTGTGCTGTGGATACCCATAGCGCTCATCTAGAAGTTGTGAGGAGGGTAGCATTTGTCAGCAACTACCCATGCACAAATGTTTGATACCATTTGGAATGGAGAGCACAAACCTGGGCTTGGATATACTCCGTCCAAAAGTGGCAACCCATCACATCAGTGTACACCAGCCTTTTGATCCTGTTGAGGACTTTGCCAATGCTAGTTTGGGCATCTCCGCCTGCACCACGCCATTGTTGATGATGATTTGGGAACTCTTGATTGTTGAGATCAAGAAACATATGTAAGAACTGGAAGACTGTTATCTCTTGAATAGCCATGAAATGGAATGTATGATAGGTCTTATCTACAAGTGAAGGAGGTTCTTGGCTGGGTGGATGGGGCTTGTGACCATCTAGCAAGAAATGAAATGAGGTGACCATCATCCCTTTGGCTTTGATTGAGCCACCGGTGGATTGCACCTAAGAGATTCACAACGACCTGGTGCTGATTTGGGCTGGGCATATCTGTTTGTTACATATTCAATGTTAGACAAATTGTACACTGTGACTCAATTATATGTGTATTGGAGCTCCTTGTGAGTGGATATTACATACCAAAATACCTTTTCAATGGTCAGGGGGTCAATACGCCGGCTGTTCCAGACAAGTATCAGTTGTGTGTTGGCCTTACATGTGATGATGGCCCTGTTGGTATTTTTCACATTGAAAAATCCCAAAAGGTGTAGTGTGATGTGTATCAGATCTTTCCCAACCCCCCTGTGGATGGGATGGGATGGGATTTCAGGTGACCTTGCTGATGGCCAGCTTGTGGGTCAGGGGTAGGGAGGGGTTCAGATAGATTAGTTTCAGAACCCCCCACTCACTCAATAATTGGCCTTTGGTAATCAATGGGTGATTGTGACTCCAATAATTTATATCAAACAAAAATAATTGAATGAAGTCTTGAGATTTCTTTCTTATATTAGTGAAGGCTATTCATCATGATTGTATATTACATTCTCAACTTTTCATAATCAAATTGAATTATACTACTGTTTATACCTCCATGTCAACTACCACTGTTCCCATCAGGTGGTTCCCATCACAGTTACTCACATGATCTCAATTTGTGAATTCATGAATAAACTTGGTGGTTTTACACCTAAAGAGTTTATGGTGACCTTTCTATCATCAAACCATCCCAACCTGGTCTACCGGAGGTGCCAAATGAAAGTGGGTATGGGTGGCAAACAAACTTGATCAATTGTTAACAATTTGTGCAAATTGGCAGGGAGGTGTGAAAAAGGCCAAGCGGACTTGGAGGAATTAATCTTAGAGGAGGTCAACATTTTGTCTGCATAGATGAGTTGTAGGTGAGGTCCCCACGCGGAAATCACCACTTCTCGGCTCTTGATCCCAGGCTTTGACTATATTGATTGGTCAAGAAGTCCAAAGTGGTGTCTATCCCCGTGGAGTGTTGGTGTTCAATCAACAATTTGAGCATCAGGTACTCAACACTTGAATATTATGGTTATTATTCAAATTGACATATGATTAGAGAAGGAGGATTTACAAGATGATGTGCTAAAAAGAAGGAGAATCTGAATTGAGAATAGTGACATCATAATCAAGATAGTACTTATAATAGTCATGTGTTGTTTGCAATGTGTGATCTCTTTCCTCATCTTTGGAAAGAGAACGTACATACATTAATTTTTTTTTCTCATTGCTATGTTTATGATATGTGTATCTGAAATCATGTTTTCCAGATTTCTTCAATCTTCTCCATAGATCAGTTGATAAAACTACTCAACTTTACTTTATTAGCCTTATCCGCTACACCTTTATAATAGGTATTTCATTGATCAAACTTATATTTCTATTAGAACTTATTTATCTGACTTATCCTGTACGTTGATGTTGTAGGTCAGCTTTCTATCTCACTAGGACTATAGACTGAAAGTCTTATCACATTGTGTATCACATTATCAGGTAATTTATAGTATCTTTGGAAAGAGAACCTTTCTTCAATCTTCTCCATAGATCAGTTGAGCAAACTACTCATCTTTACTTTATTAGGGGTACACAAACATCTCAACCCGACCTTAAAAGCCCATTCAAAAAACCCGTGCCAACCCGATTGATTTTGAGTTTTTAGAGCTAAAAAATCCAAAAATCAATCGGGTTGCCATGGGTTTTATTAGGTTGGGTTGAGATGCTTGTGTACAGCTATCATCCTTATCCGCTACACCTTTATAATAGGTCAGCTTTCTATCTCACTATGACTAGAGACTATAAATCTTCTCACGTTGGTTACCACATTATCAGGTCAACCGTGTTTGAATCATTTCAGACATTTTCATGGTAGCAAGAGATACATATTATTTGATCCATGATCATACTGTTGAATGAGTGATCACGAGCTCCAATCTACTTCCATCAAAAACTTAGCTCCGTCTGCTCACAAATTTGAAGAAGACAATGACAAAGACAGTGAACAGACCATCCTAAACATATCAGAATCTCTAACTCAAAAGCAACCACCTTTATCATCCAAAGAAAACATGTCTCAAAGCATCTCGTCATCACAAATTCCGCCAGTGCAACCTCCATTATCAATGAAAGCAACGGACAGAACTCTTCAAGCCATCCATGTTAATCAGGGTTTATGACAAATTGTCCCAAGTGAACAGTTGAATGATTAGGGGATACATAGTAGAATCTGGCCACAAGATTTAAATTTACAGCCCAATGAGATCTGGCCAAAAATCCGTCCACATGGCCAGATTCAACTTTGTATCCCCTAGATGTAACTTTTTCAGTTGGACATCCAACATAATTTCAAGCTTAGATTCAATCTGGTATGCTGGATATTTAGAATCAGACAACATCAAAGACAAAAAAAGATCTATTATTCACAAAGTAGCAAAGAAGTGTATCACTTCTTGGATCCCCAAGCAACTTGATCCCACCAACAGAGCTTGTTTTGAGCCAAAGATCACTGAGTATTCTTCATCCGGTCCAAAGATTGAAAGTCTACCCTCAAAATTATGGAACACTATTGTCAATCATCACACTGGTAGATCTAATGAATTTTGTCTGCTACTAGAACAATATTTGAACCTAATTGTCCAGTCTCCGTCTACGCCCCTTTTGGATCATTTGGAACATTTTCAGAAAACTGTAAGTTCAAGTCAGGTGGTGGTAATGTGTTGAAGTGTGCAATCGACATAGAGAGAGTAATCAGTTACAAAATTAGAGAAGAGTCGGATATACGAGAAAGGTATTAACTTGAAAATTGCAATCAAGGAAAAGGAGACTTACAGATTAATTAATTGCCCCAATGAGTTTCAATCAACGAGTTACTTATAACAGTTGTCTCTCTTCAATTTACTTCTCTTTCCCCATCTTTGGGAAGAGAAGTGAGTTCATTTTTATCTCTTTCTCTTTATCTCTTTCTCTTCATTGAATACTTATGTTGGTTTATCTGATGTGTTTCAATTTTCTCTTTATCGAATATGTTATAAGTCTTATTATTCCATCGAGTAGAACCAAAGATCAGTTATCACCTTGTGATAACTTATAGCTAACATTATAAACCCTGACTTGATAACAGGTATTGAATGTCTCCTTATTAATTATCTTTCACTTACATTATTTCTGATTAGTTCATTATTGTTATTAGGTCAGAGTCTTTTCTCGTAGAGCATCTTGTAGAAGGTCGTGCTTATCATAGCTTTAGCTTATGCTATTAGGTGAATACATTTAATCTTTGGGAAGAGAATCTTATTATCTCATCGAGTAGAACCAAAGATCAGTTATCAACTTGTGATAACTTATAGCTAACATTATAAACCCTGACTTGATAACAGGTCAGAGTCTTTTCTCGTAGAGCATCTTGTAGAAGGTCGTGCTTATCATAGCTTTAGCTTATGCTATTAGATCCCATATCCGAAGACTCTCATTCTTTCTCATAATGTTTCCGATGATTACCTGGGGCAGAAGTTACTCATCTCTCTGAATAATGCTCACTTTGAGGATGCAAAATCCATAGCCAATCAAGGCATCATGAATTACAATAAAGTTGTATTGGCTCTCAAGAAACAAATGATCACCATAACTATTTTACGGGGTGCTAGACCTGTTCAACATGCTGTTCAACAAGTCAATTGGGTCACTGAAGCCAGTGCTATCTCAAGTAACAACCACTT